ACATAAAGCTAGATTCTCATTGGGGGCATTCCAGCAAGAGTGGTGATTGTGTGGTTCAGGTCCTTACTGATTTTTTTCTTTTCAACTACTGTCTTATGGAGAGATACATTTTCCCACTACAGTGGTGGACTTGCCAAGCGGTCATTCTGTTGCTTTTTGCCTTGTCTGTTTTGAGGCCGTAGTATTAGGAGCATGTATGTTGAGAACTTTTGTATATAATGGGTCAGTTTGTTTTGTCACATTCTTTGTCCCTAATCTCCCTTTTTGCTTTTGTCAGTTGTTAACTGTTTTTCTTAATCAGCACTGTCACTTCTCTACTTGACTTAAAAAAAATTTTTTTTTAATTTATTTTTGGCTGTGCTGGGTCTTTGTTGCTGCACGGGCTTTTCTCTAATCTCAGCATGCGGGAGCTACTCTCTAGTTGTGGTGCACGCGCTTCTCATTGCAGTGGCTTCTCTTGTTGCAGAGCGCAGCCCTGTAAGGCACATGGGCTTCAGCAGTTGCAGCACATGGGCTCAGTAGTGATGGCTTCCGGGCTCTAGAGCACAGGCTCTGTAGTTGTGGCACACGTGGGCTTAGTTGTTCCACAGCATGTGGGGTCTTCCCAGATCAGGGATCGAACCCATGTCTCCTGAATTGGCAGGCAGATTCTTTACCACTGAGCCATCGGGGAAGCCTCTCTATTTGATTCTTGGTTCTTATTTGCCTGGTCAGTCTTTTTCCATCTTTTGATTTTCAGTCTTTTTGGCTCCAGATGTTTTTCAGTAAGTGGATCTTCACGGAGCATTGCCTTAGGGTATGGCCTTGTACGGAGCTTGGTGTTTGGGAAGTTAGAGAATTCTGCCGTAGTAACCTCTGACACAGGTAGAATATTTGGGTGTGAAACAGTTTACACTGCCAGGCCTCCAGGAGTTTGAGACATGGAGCCTTAGGGCAGGAAACTTTGATCCATTCTGTCCCGTGCTGGGCAGTGTTGCTGGGGTCACCATGATAACTCTGACCTTTCCTCCCACGGATTCACTATTCAGTGGAGCAGACAGATCCATCCCTCGATAGTGACAGTGGACAGGGCTATGTTTGGGGAACCCAGAGGACCATTCTGGGCAGGTGGAAGGTTTCCAGGAAGGGAGCTCAGGGAAGGCCTCCAGGTTAAAGATACAGGCCCATGAAAGTTACATTTGAGCTAAGACCCAAATGATAGAAGGGATGGAACCATGTGGAGACCTGGGGGGGAAGGCATGCCAGTCAGAGGGAACATAGAAGGAAAGGGCTTAGTGACTCTGAGGAATATCCAGCAAGGAGCCCAGTGTGGGACCCCAGAGGTGGAGCCTGACCCAGCCTTACGGGGTTAGCTTCCTGGAGGAGAGGATGGCTGAGCTGAAACCCCAGAGAATATATAATTAAACAATAGAGCACAGCAATCTAAAATCAGATTCCCTGGGTTCCCATCCCTGCTCTAAGTCCCACCAGTTATGTGTGACCTTGAGCTAGTTAGGCAACCTGACCTATCTCAGTTTCTTCATCTATACAGTGAAGATAACCACTCCTCCTGAGGATCAGAGAAGGCCTCAGAATTCTAACTATTCTGTAGGCCAGAGTAGGTGCTTACCTGGGTCCACTGGGGGTGTGGGAAAGTGGGGAAGGATGAGGCTGGAGTTGTAGAGTATCTGGGCTTTTCCCCAAGGGCACTGGGGAGTCATGGTAGGTTCTGAGCAGGGTAGGGACAAGGTCAGGTTTATATTTTGAGAATACCTTTCTGGCTCTGATGTGGATGGCTGGTAGCAGACAGGGTGGTGGGAATGGACAGATGCCTGTAGTGGAGTGTCTCTTGAGCAGGCCTGGCACTGAAAGGATCTAGGCCAGTGCTGTTCAATAGAAACAAAGTGAACCTTACATGTAATTTAAAATCTTCTAGTAGCCACATTTAAAATGTCAAAAGAAAGAGATGAAGTCAATTTTAAACATCTTAACTCATTTATATCCTAAATAGTCTCATTTTAACAGGTAGTCAATGTTAAAAAAATTATTAAGGTATTTCATATTATTTTCTTGTACTATTTGCGGCTCCTGGTTGGAAGGGCTGGCCTGAGAGGTCCTTTTGGCCACACGGCCTTTGCCTTGAATGCCAGGCCCAGAGGCTTAGACTTAGTGCCGACGGAGCCACCATCGCAGGGTTCTGCCCATTTGTTTTTCAGGGTGAGGTGATCCTGCTGCTGCTCCGTTTCCCCCGCGGGAAGTCTCTCCCTCCAGGTTTCCCTACCAGAGCTAGGCACTTTCAGATCTTTCTGCCCTCTTCCTTTCCTCCGGACTTGGGAGTCTCAATCCCTGAACTGCATAGCCCTTTAAATCTCAGCTGTCAATCAGGGCTCTTGTTTAGAGGAAACGTCGTAATAAACGTTTCCTTGATTGTCACGGCCTGGGTCCTGGCCTTGGTCTTCCGTTTAGCAGGAAGTTAGGAATTGTTCTACACTCTCTTGCACTTGACTGTTTCCACACCCGTTCGTCACCTCTCGCCTACTCCACCCTCTTTCGAAGTTGGGCCCCTTCGCCAAGGCCTGCCTTATATGGGCATGGCTCCGAATGGCCGCCGCTCATTGGCTGGGGGCATCACGCGCACGTCTGTCAACAAAGGGGCGGAGGGAAACCAGGTTGGTGCCGGGCTGGCGCGACAGCTGGAGGGAAGGAGCGAGGGGGCGGGCCCTCTTTTGCACACGCTTGGGTGCCTCCTCCTCCCCGCAGGGGGCGGGGCGCTCGGGGGGGGGGCGTGTCTAGGTTGCGAGAGTAGCCTTAGCGGTTGGCGAATTCCAGGGAAGCTATAATGGGAGGGAGTGGGGGCATTTTTCGTGAATATGAGGATACTTTGGGGTTCCCTTAAGTTTAGATGGCGCCTTGGGATTTGAGTTTGGGTTCTGATGTAGTGTGGAAGGTTCGAATGTATTGTAGGGAATCGCCCATGTGGTTTGGGGTGTTTGGTGGGTATAGGATTTGCGGAAGCCACGGAGAGACTTAGAAGCAGAGTCCCCTGTCTGGACCCAGAATGCATGCGCTTTCGGCTCTCCCGACTTGCTCCCTGTCTGGCTCCGGACAGGGATTTAACCTTTCTGCCCCTCATCTGGACTCAGGGACGAATAACACTCCCTGCTTCCTAGGGAGGAGGGAGGATTAGCAGGAATTGTTAAAACAGTACCCAGTAAGCTGCCAGGGAGCGTGCCATAAGCTCATGTCTGCGTATTAACATTTTGTGAGGTTTCTTTGGGAGTATTTTGGAGGTTCTTTTGACTTTGAGAAATTAATGGTTTGGTATTAGTTTTATGTGTGTTTTAGTTAGTTGTTTTGCGATCGGTGGGCCTTCTGTGGGATTAGGTAATGCGTGTGGAGGTTTAGAGAGAGTTTGAAGTATAAAATTTCAGGAAACTGGTCTTTTGGGTCATCTGTGAGGTTGGGAAATTGCTGTGTGTGTTGGAGTCCTTGGTAGGCATAGGATATGTGTGGGTCTACATTGAGATTGAGGCTTTCTGAGCTGGAGGGGATATTTTTAGGTTTGGAAGTTTAAAGTAAGATTTTGAGAGGGTCTGGATATTTTGGGTCAGGATATATTTGCATCTATAGAGAATGAGTGGCTTTTGCTGTGGTAGTTTCTATTCCTGGACATTTTATTTATTTATAATTTTGTTTATTTACTTTTGGCTGTGCTGGGTCATCGTCACTGCGCAGGCCCTTCTCCAGTTGCAGCAAGCAGGGGCCACTCTTGCTGCAATGCGCAGGCTTCTCATTGTGGTGGCCTCTCTTGTTGCACAGCACAGATAGATTCTAGATTCTTTACCATCGAGCACCAAGGAAACCCTGTTCCTGGATATTTTAGACGTGTTGGTTGTTGGTAAACTTAGCCATCTATAGGTTTTAGGGGCTGTGTGGGTTTTTTTTTTTTTTTATAAGCAAGAAACATTTCAGCAGGGGCTGTGTTAGGAGTAGTAGGCGGGATCGGACACGGGGGGCAAGGATTCTTAGGATTAAGACTCTGGTGTCTGTGAGTGCTTGGAGGCTGTCTAGATCTTAAAGTTATAGGGCCATGAAATAAATGGTGATTTAGTGGTGTCTGTGGTATTGCCTGAATTTAGAGGAACCATATATACTGCAGAGGTCAGCAAACTTTTTCCATAAAGGGCCAGATAATGAGTGTTTTAGGCTTTGCAAGCCATATGTTCTCTGTCACCTCTAGTCAACTCTGCCGTGGTAGCATAAAAGTATTCGTGAACAAAGGAACATGTTTCAATAAAATTTTATTTGCAGAGACAGGCAATGGGCTGGATTTGGCCCATGGCTCAAAATAGTACAACCAGGAGTCAGCAAACTACTTTCACTGGTCTGTAAACATCTGGAAGTTTCAACATTTGAAGGGTGTCTTGATTTCAAGATATCTGGAGGGAGATGGCCCAGGGAAAGACTGAGGATTTGAGACTGTTAGTTCTGCAGTAGAACATAGTTGGGTCAGGCTCATTAGCAAGACTGCCTCCAGTTTAGGTCATGCACACAAAGTCATTGCAAAATAAAACGGTCACTATTACAAGCTCTAAATTGAGAAATCTGGAAACCAAGTTTGAGGGTCTGGTTTTGCAATATATAAACCTTCCCCACTCTGAGCCTCAAACTCAGCAAGTTGGGAGCAACTTGAAGAAACTAGACTAGAAAGACCTCATGCCAGGGGTCTATGTTTCTGCTTAAAGGAATTACCTGCACAGGCTTGGTGCAAGTGTATGCATTTTCCTGGGTGAGGATCCGCAGCTGTAATAGATCCCCAAAGAGAACAGGATCTGAGTGGTCTAGCCTGGTCTGTCTCCTCAGGTCCGGAGAGGTTGAGGTCAGAGAGGAACTGATGGGGTGAGCTGTTCCCCAGCTCCCCCACCCTCTCTTCCGTGTCTCCAGGTGACCTGTGGAGCCCCCCACCGCCATCCAGGCCCTGCGATGTGGTGAACCCCCGCCTGTCTGCCACCATTCCCAGAATGGACCGAGGTGGCCTCCTGCCCTTCCAGCTTTGGTGCCCCCGGCCCTTTGGCACCTACTCCCAGAACCAGCCACGCCCACCTTCTGCAGCCCTCAAGCCCTCAGCCTGCTCCGAGCCCGGCGCTGGGGCGGAGCCAGAACATGGCCCTGCCCACTCTGAGAACACGCCCCCGGTCTTGGCCTCCGAGGCTCCTGCCTCCCAGCCTGCCCCACTCCTTTCCACAGCCGCTGCTGGCGACGAGGGTCGAGTCCTGCTGGACACATGGTATGTGATCAAGCCGGGGAATACAAAGGAGAAGGTGGCCTTCTTTGTGGCCCACCAGTGTGGTGGGGGCAGTCGGGCCAGCTCCATGAAGGTCAAGGGGCACTGGGGCAGTGACAGCTCCAAGGCCAAGAGGAGGAGGCGCTGTCTTGAGTCTACGAAGGCTCCGCCCGACCCAGGGGGACAGGACGGGCCCCCTGCCGCGGAGGGGGCCCCAACCTCTGCCGGCGAGGATGTGGACCTGCTCTCTGTGGCCGAGATGGTGGCCCTGGTGGAACAGCGGGCCGCCCTGGCCCTGCAGAGCTACCCGCGCCCCAGCACCCCAGCGCCTGTGGTCTTCGTGTCGGCTGAGCAAGGTGGGCCTGGCAAGGGGCTGGGATCCGAACGAAGGTCTGGCGGCGGGGACTGCAGCCGTGTAGCCGAGGCGGTGGCCCACTTTGAGGCCCAGCGGGACAACCCCCCGGCCAAAGGCCTCCGCAAGGAGGAGCGGCCTGGACCAGGTCCCGGGGAGGTGCGCATCGCCTTCCGGATCTCCAACAGCCGAGAGTCCCGAACACCGGATGGCAGCTTACCCAACGGGAGCGGGAGCCGGCCGGGTTGCGCCTACCCTGGCAGCCCGGGTCCCGGAGCCCGGGCCAAGGACAAGATCACCTGCGACCTGTACCAGCTTATCAGCCCATCTCGGGACGCCCTCCCCAGCAACGTGGAGTTCCTGCTGGCTAGGGCAGACGAAGCCAGTGAGGGTGAGACCCCCGCCCCTGCCAGGCCCGAGGACACTCCCCCGGCGCCCCCGCCACCCCCTGCCCGGGACTGCGGAGCGTCAGGCTTCCACGTGGATGTGGTAGTTACTGGGGTGGTGGACGAGTGCATCTTCTTTGGCAAGGACAGCACCAAAAACGTGAAAGAGGAGACAGTGTGCCTGACTGTCAGCCCCGAGGAACCACCCCCGCCCGGCCAGCTCTTTTTCCTCCAGTCCCGGGGGTCTGACGGGCCCCCCGAGCCTCCGCCAGCCGACTCACCGGCCACGGCGCCAGGCCCGGACGATGCCGAGGGGACGCCCGACACCTCCCTGTGCCGCCTGTACCGGCATGTGTCCCACGACTTCCTGGAGATCCGTTTCAAGATCCAGCGGTTGTTGGAGCCGCGGCAGTACATGCTGGTACTCCCAGAGCACGTGCTGGTCAAGATCTTCAGCTTCCTGCCCACGCGGGCCCTGGCAGCTCTCAAGTGCACCTGCCACCACTTTAAGGGCATCATTGAGGCATTCGGCGTGCGGGCCACAGACTCACGCTGGAGCCGCGACCCACTCTACCGCGATGACCCTTGTAAGCAGTGCCGCAAGAGATACGAGAAGGGCGATGTGTCGCTCTGCCGCTGGCACCCCAAGCCCTACCACCACGACCTGCCTTACGGACGTTCCTACTGGATGTGCTGCCGCCGAGCCGATCGCGAGACGCCTGGCTGCCGCCTGGGTCTGCATGATAACAACTGGGTGCTGCCCTGCAATGGGCCAGGCACTGGTGGGGGCCGGGCTGGCCGCGAGGAGGGGAGGTGAAGCCGGGGGAGGGGGTGGGGAAGAGCCCACCACGCCCACCCCCACCCCCTCCCCCTGGGAGCCGAGGGTCAGGACTGGGTCACCAGCCCATACCCCCAGCCCAGGCAGCATGGATCTCCCTCAAGAACTAAGATGGGGTTCATGGGGGTGACCAGGAAAGCTGATTGACCCCACCTGGTTTTCTACTCTTCAGACCCTCAAGTTGGGTGTGTTTTTTTAATCAGCATCTCAGTTTCCTCTCCAGCCCCGATGCCCTCCCTGCCATTCTCCATACCCCGGGGACCCACTAGCAGGGAGCAGACGGCAGCTAATTTTGGTACTACTTAAGGGTTCCCCCATTCTGGCCCCCTTGAATTCCCTCCCCTAGTTCTTTCTTTCTGGAGTTGTTCTTTTCCCCCAAGAGGCTGCAGCACCTAGCGTTGGTACCCTTCCTAACCTACTACACCAGGGCTCACCTCCTCTTTAGGAATTGGGGGCCATCAGGTCACATTTTGGCACTTTTCATGGCCACCTGCCATTTCTAGACATTTTCCCCATTAAAACAATAAAAATCAGTTTTCTCTGTAGTCTCAAGCTATCAGTCTATCTAGGTCCCCAAGAGGAAAACAAAAGTTAAAGTATAAAAATTCTCTTCCAATATTTAAGCTATTGCCATGACCCCAATCCCACCCCCACCCCCACAAAAAAAGCTGTGAAACCCTTTGCCTCACTCTGGACAGCGTGGGGGGTGGGGGCTGGTGGGCAGGGACTAAGGGTTTCAACTTCTGTTTTTTTCCTTCCACTCTGCGTACTCGTTCGGGTGTTAGAGGTCTCTCCATCCCCCAGCCACATATTTTTTTAAAGAATCCTTTAGTGAACCAAGACCTTGACTTTCAGGCAGTTTGATCTGGAGTACTTTTTTTGTTCTGTTTGGGTTTTTGTTGTTATTGTTGTTTTTTAATTTGGTTTTGTTTTTTCATCCTTGTGGTTCTGGAAAGCTTCTAACGTGTGGCATCTGACCAATTTTGAATTGGTCTTTTCTATAAAATCAATATTTATAAGGCTGGGCCGAGACTGGTTTGTGTGTTGTTAAGGGAAGCTGTTTGGAAGAGAAGTAAGTCATGGGCCAGTTCGTGGTGAGATGGAAAAAACTGAAAGAATCCTTAGCCAATTCCCTTAGACTGAGATGATTTTTGACTCTTCATCTGTGTCCATTTGAATTCAAAAATCTCAAAATAGTATTAATAGAAACTCAAACAGGGTAGCTTTTATTTCTTTAGAAACCCAGTGCTGGGCAGGTGTGGTGGCCCTGAAGTCACTGGCAGCCCAGACTCCTCCTTGCCCACTATCCCATTACTCTTTGCCTTTGGCTCAGCTTCATGGTCCAACATGGCTACTACGACTCCAGCCATTACCATTTTGTGGGGAAGGGAGTCTCCTTCCTCTCAGAAATACTACACAATGCTTCTGTGCACAGCTCACTGATCAGAACTTTAGCCACATGGAAGGACTGCAGGGGAGACTGGGAAATGCAGACGCTTAACCAGATGCATTATGCCCAACCAGAAACTCATAAAGATCCCTGTAATAAAAGTTTTAAGATATTCAGCTAATTATTAACTAACAGAAGAGGGGAAAATGGATATTGAGCAGTGGCTAACAGTCTCTGACATTCTTACCAAGGAATCAAAATTTCCAGAGATGAGGATATGTCAGAATAGTTATTTAATACTTAGATTTGAGAATCAAAGAGACCTGGATTTATAACTTGGCTTGGTTTTGTGGAATTTTGGATTCCTGTAAAGAGAAGGCTGGGTTATTTGGACTCTCCTGCTGAAAACAGGAAGTAAAATCTGAAAAGCCTCAAATAGTCAATAAAACACAATTATGGATATAATAAGCCAAAAATTTAAGGAAAATGTCCATAGGGGTCCTAAAACCACTTTTGCTCTGAGGGCATTTGCCGATGTAAACAACCCTGGGTTTCCAATTTGTGGCCTTATTGGGACAGGCGAGCAGAAGTCAAAGCCTGCCCAAGGTGAAGAATGTAATAGGAGCTGGGATCCCACCAAACTACAAGCTCAGGTAAGGCTGACACAGAACACTGCAGAGAAGGTGTTTTAAATGCTGAAGAAAACACAAAGGAAAGGGGTGGGGGAGGAATTGAGCCCTGAGAATCTGTGGCCACAGGCTGGCCCTTGGCTTGGGTTTGCAGCCTATTTTTCATCACCTGTTGTGATCCAGGGTACTGAGATGTCTAGCAGAAACAAACAAAATCCTCTGGTGGGAGGAGCTGACACCTACAATCCCCACCAACAGTTTTTTAGACAGTGAGCAGTAAGAGTCAAATAACCAAACACACATGGAAATAAAGAAGCAGAAGCAAGAAGCAGCATTGGCCACAGAGCAAAAACAGACCCACAAAGGCTGCAGGTGGTGGAACCGTCAGTCACAGATTAGAAGAAAAAAGAGAGCTTGGAAATACATGCAGGGAACCCAGACCTGAATAATGGCCTAGCCAGAATAAAAGGAAAAAACCCACAAAGGTATACAGTAACCAAAAGTAAAAAGTCAATGACTAGGCTAAACAAATTAGACACAATGAAAGAGTTATTCAGCTAGAGCAAGGTCTGAAAAAGTGGCATAGGGACCAAAAAGAAAAAAATGTAAACGGTTATGGAGGATAGAGGAAGTCTAGCACATTAAACTGGCATCCTAGAATCAGAAGAGAAAATGAAATGGCACAATGATAGTATGTAAAGACACAATGATTGCAAATTCCAGACTGATAAAAAGATGGGTACACACAGTGAATCATAGGCAGCATAAATAAATAGAAACAAATACCTAGACAAATGCAATGAACGTGTCCAGCTGTGATCTTCAGCAATTGATTTCTCTGAAACTCAGTTTCTTAATCTGAAAAAGGAGAATGTTAGACAGCTCCTCAGAAGGCTGATACACTGGGGTGCTCACTGGTTGTGCCCATCACAGACCCCTCTTGGGCCCTTCATAGTGTGAAGCTGGGGGAGGCTGCCTTTCAGGGCGAGAGAAAGCTGGGGAAAGCATTACCTTGTCAAGCATCAGCAGCCTCATCTGTAAAAATGGGCTCATGATCCTGACCCCAGATTCAAGTGGAAAGCCCTGCTCAGTGTGTGGGTGTAGTGCACCCAGCAAGATGACTTACAGGGAGGCCTGGAGACCAAGGATGGAACTGAACACACTGCTTACTCTAACACTGAGGTGATGGTTTCACCTACCTCTGAGATGGCTGTGATGATAAGGAGACATGTTGCAGTTTTAAGTGCTTGGCATCATGAAATGAACAAACAGGAACTCTGATTTGAGACCCTCTTGCTACCCTAGTTGCTGATATCTGTCAATTTCCTTTTTTGACTTCTGCTGATATCTGTCAATTCCACTTCTAAGGGGCTGTTAGTCCCTGCCCTTCTGAATCTCACTGTAACTTGCAGCCAAATAAAAGCCTCAGGAGGAGCTACTTTTTTGGTTAACCAGCTGGTGGACCAGCACAGGTGATTTTTAGAAAGAGGTAGGACACGGGCTTAGGAGCACAGCTGTGGGTGAGACTCTGAACTCTGTAAACAACAGTTTGTAATTCTCAGCCCCAGCCACCTCATTTGCAAAATGAGAACCGAAATTGTCCCTCAGCCCACAGGTCCTCTTGAGTCAGCCTTGAGTTGTCTTGGAAAGCCAATGTTCACCTTCACTCTTTTAAGGTTTTTTTGATGTGGACCATTCTTAAAGTCTTTATTGAATTTCTCACAATACTGTTTCTGTTTTGGTTTGTTGGTCATGAGGCATGTGGGATCTTCAACTAGGGACTGAAACTGTGCCCCCTGCATTGGAAGCTGAAGTCCCAACCACTGGATCACCAGGGAGGTCCCCACCTTCACTCTCTAACTCTCTACCCTGGCCTGGCCTCCCTGCGGCCTACCAAGTCTCCATCAAAGTCACAAAATCAGCAGGCACAGGGCCGAGCATCAGACTCCCTGCCTAAGTGCTCACCTAGGTTTTCTTTGGAGCAGGTTTGCTAAGCAGCTAGAATGCACCAAACTTATATCCTTAAGGACAGCATGCCCCAAAGTGCTCATTGTGAAGATTCCCCAGGTGCTTTTACAGTCCCAGCCTCTGAATCTGCTTTTTTTTTTTTTTTTTTTGGCTGTTGGCTTCCCTGCACAGCTTATGGGATCTTAGTTCCCTGACCAGGGGTCAAACCCAGGCCCCAGCAGTGACAGCGCCAAGGCCTAACCGCTGGACTGCCACAGAATTCCCCGCATTTTTCAAAAAGCACCCCAGTTGCATCTGAAAATTAGATAGGGCTAGGAAATAATTCCTTGGGCCAGAGTTTGCAGTTACACATGACATCTCTCATTCCTGTACTCACAGCCAAAAGGGAAAGGATGGTTTGGTGTAACTATTTTATAGTGAGTTTTAGATCTGACCCATTTCTACCATAAGCATTTTCAAACGATCAAAACCCAATGTTTCCCAATGTATCTGCTGAGGTACCCAGATTCTGTGAGGTGCTTCCCAATAAAGGGGTTCTGTGGTGAAATACTTGGGGGAAACAGTGCATTCTTACTCTGGATGAAAACTGCACACCATGAAATGAAGAAATTCATTTAATACTGTCTCACCCTGCTTTGGTCCCCTTTTTCATGCAACACCTGTGTATACTAGTTGTGCAGAATATGTTTTGCAGAAACACTGGTTTATCGCCCACTGGAGGTGGCAGAATCTGGAGTTCCCAAGGATTGGCTTCTACCTCCTCTGTCCCTGCTTACAAGCAGATCCTTGGTGGGCCCCACATGCCACGTCCCTGTGGGAGTTAGGTTTGGACTGGTGCAGTAGCAAGGCTGCCATTCTGGAGAATGGACTGCCACGAAAACAAGCCACAGAGAATTCATCTGGTCGAGGGTACTGCTGGTCCGGATGCCAGTCCATGGTCTGCTGATTAAAGCTGAGAACGGCGCTCAGTCCCTGGAGATGTACAGCCCGAGTGTTTCCTCAGGGCAGGGGCCGGGCTCATTCCTTTGGCTCTCACCCCACGGCGATCGCTCTCGCTTCCACGTCTTTGAAGAGTGGCAGCTTGAGATCAAGAAAGAGCATCTTCCAGTCAGAGCACAAACAGAGCCAAAGGAGTTAAAAAGGACAAGCCAGCACACCCCAGGAGGGCCGTGGCATGTCTCCTGCTGGGCGTTTCTCAGGGAGTCTAGAGCCCCAGGTATTCAGCCAGGAACACGGCCAGGATGCGGCTCAGGTTGTGTACAGTGGGTGGGTGCAGGTTGGCCTCGGAGTCATTAGACGTGTGCCAGACAGAGGGGAAGGGCGTGGCGATGAGGTGGAGCACGGGAACTCCTGCAGGGCAAAGAGGAGGCACAGGCCCGTGTCTGGTCCCCGGCTGACCCAGGAGCCCAGGCCCACGCCTGGGCAAGTCTGCCTTCTCTGCCCCACCCCCCCAATTGTGCCACTTGAAGAACTCTGAACAATTCTGAGGGTATGTGTTCATTAAAAAAAAAACACATCCAATATATTCATAACAAAAATCAGAAAAACTCAAAACTTCATAGCTTATGAAAAGACTAGAAGATCTGAACACTTGCCAGTGCCGGGCACTGGTCCAAGTTCTTTACATTCAATCCCCTCAGCAACTCTTGAGATGGGGGGCTGTTAATCATCCCCATTTTACAGATGAGGGAATTGAGACACAAAGAGGTTAAGCAATTTGCCACCAGTCCCCAAATCTAGGAAGGGGCCAGGTCCTATCTGTGGCCCCCCTGCCCCCCAATTCCCACAGCAGGTACCTCGGCGGAGGAAGGGGATGTGGTCGTCTTCCACAGAGACAGGGGGCTCCCCGGTCTGGAAGTACATCACTTCCCAAGGATGAGACTGCAGTAGGTTCAGTCGGTGCAGGCGCTTCTCTGGATGTGGTGGGGATTGGAAAGCAGAAGGTCACCCCCTCAAGGGTCAAAGATTCCCCTGCTCACAGATCAGAGGAGGGTGGGAGGCCTGGGGGTAAAGCACTGATCATGCCAATAAAGATGAATGTTAGTTCATCATTCTGGGGTAATGTTAGTTACCCCAGACTACAGGCTATGTTCCCAGTCTCATTTAATCCCTTCAAGTCTAAGGAGGCAGACACCCCCATTATTAGCATCATGCCCATTTGATAGATGGGAAACTGAGGCTCAGAGAGAGGAGGTCACTTGCCCAAGCTCACAGCTGGTAAGAAGGAAAGCCAGAATATGAACCCAGGGCTCTCTGACCCTAGAATCCCTGTCTGTAATCACTTCATTTGACTGCTGTGGGATCTTTTGTGTTTCTGCCCCAGAGCTTTAGGGAGAGGCTAGGGAGGTGGAGGGGAGGCTGGATGGCCCCTCAGAGGCCAGGTGCCTGGTCCTCTCTCCAGCATCTCAGGCGGGTGTCTGCCTATACCTTCACCCTTACCAATGCTCCTGAGCCGATGGAACCAGCGGGCCGTGCGAGGGAAGTGACTGTAGAAGGTCGGGTTGGGGGCTCCCAGGAGATCAAGAAGCATAAAGAGCTCCTAGGGAGAGAAGCCAGGACTGAGCAGCCCGGCAGGATGCTGCCAACCTCATGCCCCCCTCCTCCCACCTCGCCAGCACCCAGCAGGGCCCTAGTCTTACAATAGCCTGGATCCTGGTGGAGCCCAGGCCGTGGGGTGTAGACTCCATGAGCTGGGCCAGGTGCCGGGAGCCATAAAGCGAGTCCTTGGGTCCCCACTCCTTCAGTGCCTCTTCGCCGTCCAGGAAGAGCAGCTGCAAGGTCACTGGGGCTGCCTGTGGGGGCCAGTGGTCAGGGCCAGCTCAGTGCCAGCCCGCCACCTCAACTCACCCACATTTCCTGCCTGTTTGCACAGCTGACTAGGGCAAACAGTCTCCTCACTTGTAGAACCTGCTAGCCAAGAGTACAGTCTGCCTGGATTTAAATCCTGGCTGGGTTGCTCAGTAGCCAAGCAGTAGTGGGTCAGTTACTAAGTTCTCAAAGCATCGACTTCCTTATGTAGAAATGGGGTGAATACCATTTCTCATAGGGTAGGATTTGAACCCAGTCCTAAGACAGCGCAGGTTTCCCTGGTGGCTCAGTGCTAAAGAATCCACCTGCTAATGCAGGAGACGTGGGAAATGTTCGATCCCTGGGCTGGGAAGATCCCCTGGAGAAGGAAATGACAACTCACTCCAGTATTCTTGCCTGAAAAACCCCATGGACAAGGAAGCCTGGCTGGCTACAGTCCATGGGGTTGGGAGGAGTAGGACACAACTTAGCCGCTGAACAACAACAATAAAACAGGCTAGGGCAGTGCCTGATGCATAGTAACTAAATAAGGATTAGCTCTGATTGTAAGAGCTATTCCTCAAGTTCATTTGGCAAAAGAGACAGACCCACAAATAAATAATTGTATAAACAATGAAATGAAGTTGGGCAAATGCTTCTAAGAATAACAGGGTCCTGAAACGTCCTCCAAGGGGGTGGGGGATAACCTGGCCTGGGGAACATGTTCGGTCTGCTGGGCAGGGATGTTTGCGCTGAGGCTGAGGAGGACCTGGCCTGGCAAAATGGAGCAGAGGGAAGAGTGTTCCCTGGTGAGGAAGAAGCATGGACCAGGACTGGGGACAGAGAAGGGGCCAGAGAGGTTTGAGAAAAGGCCCTAGGGCCCAGCAAGGGCCAGGGAGCTTGGACTCTGTTACAAGAGCACTGGGGTTTCAGCCATGGAAGGGATCTGAGCAGGATAGAGGCATGAGGTGTTTCCATTCATTCCATACATTCTTATTGACATCCTACTTTACACCAGGCAGTATTCTGGGCAGTATTCAGGAAATACAACAGGAAATAAACACAGCCAAGGGCCCACCTATCTGAAGCTCATTCGAGCTTGGGAGACAGACAAAAAAATCAACCTAAAGTCCCATGAGGCATGGGATAGTGACAAGGAGCTATTTTATGGTGGCTGGGAAGGTCTCTTTGAGGAGGTGACATCAGAGTGGACCCCTGAATGAAGAGTGGGAGCCAGTCAGGAAGGTATCTGAGAAAAGCACATTGTAGGCAGAGCAAACAGCAAGTGCAAATGCCCTGAGATTGAGAGTGAGATCCACAGAGGAGGTGGAGGCTAGCATGGAGTGAGTGATGTGTGAGGGGTGGGAGAGGAGACCAGAGAGATGAGAGGTCACACCTCATGGGCTAAGAGAAGGACTCTGGCTTATTCATGGAATGACGTGGGAGCCACGGGAGGGTTTTAGGTAGAGAAGGGACAGAATCTGACATTCAGGAAATGGAAAGACCCTCTGGACTCTGGTGTGGAGTGGAGGAAGATAAGACCAGGTAAGGGAGAGTGGTGGTATGGACCAAGGAAGAGACATCCCTCGTTCACCCACCCCCACCCTACCCCTGCTTTCCTTACCCTCTCCTTGGCTTTGCCCAGCTCTTGGTCGAGGGCCTGGGCCAGCTCCAGTAGCAGGGAGCAAGGCACTGCCGAATCCGTGGCCCCCACAAAGGGGGCTGAGCCAGATGGGAAGAGCTTGGAGTCGTAATGGCAGGCAAGGGTGAGGTGGCGGGCAGCCCCTGGGTCCAGCGTGGCCACCACATTGCCGAAGTCCAATGGCCCCAGGGGTGTGGAGGCAGTGAAGGGGTCTAGTTCTATATGCCAACCTGCTGAAAGTGTCCGCAACGTAGCCTCCAGGAACTAGTGGCAATAGAGAAGAGGGAGGGTGGGTGCAGACTGGGGAGAAGGTCAGAAGAAGGGCCATGTGACCTGAACCATGCTGAGCAGTCAGGTTGGCCCACCAATACCACTTTGGTTGAATCGTTCCCTTGAGACACTTCTGAGTACCTACTAAGTGCCAAGCATGGAGTGCCCCTATCTCTTGAAGCCCAAACTAATCACAGCTCACCCTTCCATAGCACTCTGTGCCCAGTCCTTGTTCTAGGAACCCCTATGGAGTGGGGACTGACAATGGTTCCATTTTGCAGATGAGGAAACTGAGGCACAGAGAAGATGAAATTAGTTCAAGGTCATACCAAGTGGCTGAGGTGGATTTGAAGTCAGGCAGTGTTCAAATGACTCTCAATGCCTTCTGGGGAGCAATGTAGAGCTCTGGAGCCAACCCATTTGGGTTGAAACCCTAAGCATACCATTTATTAGCTGTGGGATTTGGGTAAAATGCCTAACTATTCTGGGTGTCAGTTTCCTCATCTACACAATGAAGATCAGATTGGTACCCACCTCATTAGGCTTATAGGGCTGTTGCTGATGTGTATAAGATTGGGGTGGGGGGGGGGGAGACAGTGTATAGAGGGCAGTGGTCTGGTGGTTAGCAGAATAGAGTTCCTATTAGCTTCAGGCAGACCCCCAGCTCTGCCACTTGGGCAGGATATCTATTTCCTATTCATTGATGGGCTGTGGGGTCAGGGGTTAGAGGTGGGGTCCTTTTACCTTTCTGACTTGGAGATTGCCCGGGCTGCCCGGAGTCCGCACAACCAGCAGAGGGCGCAGGAAAGTGTTCCAGAGACGCTGAGGGTCCAGTTGCCCGACTACCCTCCGCACCCGAGCTTCGGGGAGGCTTCCGATCAAAGGGCCCTGAGGAAGCAGGTAGGGAAGAGAAGAGCAGAGCATGAAAACGACCCTCATTCCAACCATTTCCTGGAGGCTGCCGTCCTCTTCCTAGTCGCAGCCTCCAGCGTCAGAGGTTTCTAGGAGAAATCCTAGACTCGGTTAAAGTCCTTCCAAACCCATCCTGCCCAGCCCGCGGCAATCCTGATGGAGGAAATCTAGGCCCAGCGAGAGGAAGGGATTCTTCCAAATAGTTGACTTCAAGATTAGAACCCAGAACTCCCAGTCTTACTACTCCAGACTCTCACCGGGTAACCGCTATTACAAAACAAGCCCGAAGCCTCATTGCGTTAAAAGGGGTATGCGCTCTAAGAATGGAGACGGAGGCACCTGCAGCTAGGGCCATATGGTGAAGACAAAGCCACGTCAACCCAACCTAGGGTCTCCCCCATGAGACCCTGGGGAAGGGGACGCAAGGAGTAAGGGCTTCCGCAGCGCCCGTGTCCCCGCCCGTCCTCACCCGCAGCTCCCGGCCCAGCGGCAGCTCTTCAGTCTGGCTATGCCAGCTGCTCCAAATGGTATAGAACACCGAGGCTACCGTCAGAGCCAGCAGCAGTAGGGGCAATAGCTGTGCACGCGGTAGCAGGCGGCGCTTGGGCGGTGAGGGTCGCTCCAAAAGGCCGCGTTCTCCGACCCGGAGCCGGGGCCGCCCGCGGCCCCCGGAACGCATGGCAGCTTCGCCCTGAAACCGGTCGGAGACGGCGGATAGAGTTAAGGCCCAGCCAAGTCCCGCCCCATGAAATAAGCCGGACCAATGAGCAACAAGAGCGGCTGCACCATCCGCCCTCCCGTGAGCAGTAAAGCCAATGGGACTTTCGTCCTGAGGACGCGGCTCCTTGCCTCCCAGGGAGCTTTGGGGTTGGTACCCCCGGGTTGCACAACCCAAAAGGGAGAGCGTAAGAAGTAGGCGCCACCTCAGCGCAAGAGGGAAAGCCAATGAGAAGCGTTTGATCACCGAAAACATTAGGCTTACTGGGCGCAAATCCACGCCGCTACCGGATGGACCCTCTCCTGGGTCCAGAAAAATCAATATACACGTAAATCAACAGTCCCTGAAGGAAAAGGGGAGGTGCCCATCCCTGAAGCGAAGAGCGGATTGGCTTCGCGAAGGCCGCGCCCCCAAAGGCAGAGCGGGCGGGTATTTGGAAATGGCTAGTATTTCCCTTCTTCAACCTATGCGGTTCTACAACAAAATGGTTTGAATCAGTCCCGCCTTCTTTTCCTCTCCTAGGTCGTGAATATCTGCCCAGTACTGTCTAGAACGGTGGCCTGGAGCTACTTACTAAATAAGAGTTCTACTCTACAGACTCCGCCGAGGGCGGAGATCGCTGTAGCAACAGGCCACGCCCCACTCGCTGGTTGGGTTTGCGCAGGCGCTCACGGAAGTGGGCCGCAGGAAGAGGAAGTCCCGCCTCTGGCTCTCTGTTCGGAAGGCACACCGCGTAGGAGAAGGTAGTGAGTTGAGAACGCGGTCACCATCAGCATCATGTGAGGCCGGCCTGGGTTTGGGTGGCGGGAGTGGGATTGAGGGTGTAAATTTGGCCACTTACCGGTTGAGGGGGGTAGGCAGAAATGGGGGCGGAAGCAAACATTTGGGGGTAAAGTGGCGTATCTTTCTACTGATGAGTTGCGAAGGGACGTGGGGCCTTTGACGCACCCTGACTTCGGGAGAGGGGACAGCTTTATCAGATAACAGGCTGGACTTTCCCAAATAAGCAATCTTACTGAAGTGAATTTTAAGAGGAAGCGTTTTTACTAAAAACCTGGGAGATGGGGAGTACGGACTTGTAGGAAAAGCGGTCTTAAGGTAAGAGGCTTAGCTGGAGAAGATTGGCTTTTCGATCACATCCGCCATTTGTACGGATAACGAGTTATGGGGATGATTTTACTTATGTATTCATTCAACAGTTATTTATTGAGTGCTTGTGTGTCAGGCTGCTTTAGACACATAGTTTGTATCAGTGAATTACTCCGCTCTTCCCAAGGAAAAAAATTCTCTTCTGCATCTTACGGGATGGGAAGAGGCAGGCAGGAAACGTGCTGGTAATAGATACGTAAATTCTAGAAGGTGTTAGGGGATAGGGTTATGAATAAAGAAATAACAGAGCAGGGTAAAACAGTGTGGAATGTCACTTTTGAGAGACAGAACACATAAAGGAGGCAACACTTGAGCAAAAACCTGAAGAAAGTGAGAAAGCAAACCACAAAGATACGTGGGGAGGTACCTAGGCAGAGGGGAAAGTGAATAGAGGGGCCCAAGAAGGTTTGCCTAATATCTTCAAGAACCACTGAAGAGGCCATTGTGCCTGGAACAGAGTGAGGGTAAAAGCTGGGTTTTACTTTTTACACTGAGCGAGGAGTCATGAGAGGGTAGTGAAGAGTGAGATGATTCTGACACCACCCCTGAGACTGCTTTCTGGAGGGCAAACTGTTGGGGAGCATGGGTGGAGGCAAGGAGACCTCTAGGAAAGAGATGATGGAGGTTTAAGCCAAGGTAAGAAATTCAGATTCTGATAGGTTTTAGCGGCAGATGACAGGATTTGCTGACAGATTGAATGTAGGATGTGAGAGAAGAAAGAGTCAATTTGACAGTAGGGCTTTTGCTCAAAGAACCAGAGGGATGGAGTCGCCATTGACAGAGATGAGGAAGGCTGTGGATAGTATAAGTTGGGGTTATGGGGGGTCTGGAGTTCAGTCTAGGACGTGCGAGGATTGGAAATATCCATTAGGCATCCACGTGGTGATATCAAGAGAGAGGACTGCGTAGGAGGAGAGGGGTATGTGTCAGGGAGACCCTGAGGGAGAGGCCGTGAGCACCCAGGCCACGGGCTTTCTCACTGTGGGTTCCATACTTCTCAGGAGTCTCCTCAACAAGCCCAAGAGTGAGATGACCCCAGAGGAGCTGCAGAAGCGGGAGGAGGAGGAGTTTAACACGGGGCCACTCTCCGTGCTCACGCAGTCAGTCAAAAACAACACTCAAGTGCTCATCAACTGCCGTAACAACAAGAAGCTCCTGGGCCGCGTGAAGGCCTTCGACAGGTGAGCACCAGGGTCTGGGGAGGTATGCTGTCCGGGCCTCAGTTTCCTTACCTGTGAAATATGCATCATCATAATATCCTTCAGAACAGTCATGAGGCTTCAGTAATACTATGTATGAAAAGCACTTGGCTCAGTACCTAACACATGATAAATGCTCAGTAAACATATGCAGCCTTTAGTTAGCATTTGGGAAGTGCTTTCCTCACAGTAGATTACTATATAGCAAGATACAGAGCTTTCCCAATTTTTTTCTTTTCTTTCTTTCACTAAGTCATAGTTCCCTATATCCTCCTATCCCTTAAGGAGTAATGGGGGAGTAATAGGGAATTTTAAAAGAGAAAAAAGAAAAAAGAAAAAAAAGGTAAAAATGTATCTAGGAATTTTTCTGGAGCTGTTGCGGTCAGTGTGGGTTTGGTTCAGTTTCAGATAGCTCCTCGTTCCAGCTTACACTTTTCGATATCTATAGGTCTCTTCCGGTGTAGTTGGTGTTACCTACAGGGGTTTTAATCTGTTGCACCGGTCCCTTCTGAAGCGGTTCCCTCTGTTTATTTGGCTTCTGTTTGCCGGTCTCTTCAGTGTCTAATTTCCGCCCTGACACAGGCGGGCGGAGGTGGTCTCTTGTCAGGTTCGCTAGTTGCTGCGGGGAGGGTGGGGCGCTGTAGACAGATATCGCTGTGTGTGGGGAGCACTCACAGTGTTCCGGCCACACTGGGTTTGCCCCCGCTCACGGGTGTGTGTGCTTTCCCCGTCTATACTGCTCAGGCTCCCCACTGCTCTATATGGAGCGGGCCCTGCGTTGCGTGCGGTTCCAGTTTTTGGGTTTTCCACAAAAGTGTGGACTCGGTTGCGCCTGCGTTTTGTGCCTTCCCCGGCCCGAGCAGCTCAGGCAGCCAGGAGCTTGACGGGCACACTCTCCCCGGATGCGGTGCGCCTTCTCCCCTCCGTGGTCCCAGCCTCAGTTTCCACGCGTGCCAGTCGGGTGTGTGCGCCTTGTGTTTAGCCGCGACCCTCCCGGCGGTTGTCGACCATCCAGAATCTCAGGAAGTCTTTGGTTAGAAACTGGAGGCCTGTTTGCCATCTCTGGGGCCGAGTTTGCCCCTTTCCCCTCCCCCCTGCCTCCTGCCTCCGGCGAGGATGGGCAGGTCCGCAGCCGGCTAGCTCCTCTGGACTTGCTCAGTCCCTTTGTTCTGCGAACGGCCGGCAGTGTGTTCGGGCCGGTTAATTTTCCCTCTCTCTTTTGCTATCCCACAGTTTAAGTTGCTATCTCACAAAAGCTCCCTTCGATTGCCCTCAGGGCACTCAGGCCCAGTCCTTACCCTAAGCAATGCCACCCGCTCCTCTCTGTTTCTCCGTTCCGCCCCCACTTGCTGGTGGCGGATGTGGGTGTCTGGGGTCCTTTTCTGCTGGGAGTTGCTTTTAGGCACGTAATCTGTAGGTTTTATTTATTTTTCCTCCCAGTTAGGTTGCCTTCCGAGATTCAAAAGCTTCCCCCAGAACTGCCAGTGTGAGGGTTTCCTGGTGTTTGGAAACTTCCTCTATTAAGACTCCCTTCCCGGGACGGGTCTCCGTCCCTAGCTCTTTTGTCTCTCTTTTTATCTTTTATATTTTGTCCTACCTCCTTTCGAAGACAATGGGCTGCTTTTCTGGGCCCCTGATGTCCTCAGCTAGCGATCAGAAATTGTTTTGTGAAGTTTTCTCAGCATTCAATTTTTCTTTCGATGAATTTGTAGGGGAGAAAGTGGTCTCCCCGTCCTATTCCTCCGCCATCTTGGCTCCTCCCTATCCTCCTATCCCTTTGGGTGCATGCATGAGGGCTCGGTCGCTTTAGTTGTGTCTAAATTTGTGCAACCCTATGGACTGTGGCCCACCAGGCTTCTCTGTCCGTGGGATTCTCCAGACAAGAATACTGGAATGGGTTTTCTTCCTAGCACTTACTACCACCTGACAACATATTTCAGGTGTCTTTGTTTACCTGCCTCGTGGTGTTCTCCCTTCACTAGCCTGCAGACCCCATGAAGACAAGGCTCTTATCTTTTTTTTTTTTCATTGCTCTAATCATCACAAACGTTTGTTGACTGAGCCATTCCACACTGTCATCACACATGCCCATAACAAGGATACTGTGTTGCTTCACTTAATTTTCACAACAGCCCTAGGAGGCAGTCACCATGAATGTCTCCATTTTAGAGAAGAGGAAACTGAGGCACAGAGGGTGAAGCCCTTTGCCTGAGCCTTGGAGCCCTGGCTCTTCACCTTTCCGGAGGCAGTGCCACCCAGAGGAAGGGTCAGGATGCACCCCTCACTCACTTCTGCTGCCTGCCTATCCCCCACCAGGCACTGCAACATGGTGCTGGAGAACGTGAAAGAAATGTGGACGGAGGTCCCCAAGAGCGGCAAAGGCAAGAAGAAGTCCAAGCCAGTCAACAAGGACCGCTACATCTCCAAGATGTTCCTGCGTGGGGACTCTGTCATTGTGGTCCTGAGGAACCCGCTCATCGCTGGCAAGTAGGGGCCTCCTCCCTGCTGTCAGAACTTGCCCACTGGTTTTGCAAAGACCTGCCCTCTGTAGTTGAAATAATAAAACCGTGCGTTTTTTCTAGTGGCCTCTGCCTGTTCCCAGGGCCTAGAGAGCGGAACAGACCCCAGAGAGGGGTGGCAGGGTGTGGGGCCGAGCATGGGCTCAGGCCTCTCTCAGCAGGTGAAGAGGCCCAGTCTCTGCCCCTTCTAGGCCTTAATTTTCCCGTCTTGGGCAGAGAGAGCTCTTGCAGTCTTTTGTGTTTTAACTTTTTTCTACCTTCTCATCACTTTCTCCTCCTCCTCCCCACCTCTCAGTAAGTCACTCACTCAAAATTTCTTTCACTCTTTTTTTCTCCCCCCCATGTGTTCACATAGTTTGTGCCCAGCCTTATGTTGCCATGCTGGGGACACAGCAGGGCCTAGAAAAGCCCCCAACCTGCCCTCACTGGGCAGAGGTTAGAGCAATTAGTGCTCAATACTGACGGCATCTGTAGCTGACACCTGCTGAGCTGTGAGAGCGCCAGGCCCTCGGCTCTGTGCTGTTCCTAGGTCTCTACAGCTCTGAGCAGGCACTGTGATCCATCACCTCCAATTCCAGGGGCAGGGGCTGAGGCACAGAGTGGTGATGGTGCCTCCCCAGGGGAATCCAGCCCGAAAGTGGTGATGTCGTGATTCACAGCCCTGCTGCTCTGAGCCAGTGGCTTACCCCCTGAACTCTGCTGCCCTTAGATCATAGCTTCATGACCCCTGAGAGAGAGTCTCTAACAAATGTAGAGAGGTGGGGGTGGGAAAGGAGGTTTGGCTTATTGTGGGTGGATTAAGGGAAATCCCTGTCTTTCTCTAAAGCATATCCATTATGCTCCTCCCACCAGCGTCTCTCTCTGTGTTCTCCAGATAGGGCCAAGTGCCAGGCTGGTGCAGTTCCCAGGCCTGAGGTCAGGATCCAAGGAGATATCTGACACTGAGCTATGGAAGACACAGCCTGAGTTATCCCAAGAGCCCATCAGCAACAGAGCTGAGGACCCTGCAGTAGAAGGCCTGACACATGCAGGGCGATGGCTGTGAGGTTATTTATATAACCTCGGCACACACTCACTGAGTGGTTCACGTCTAATTGGAACACCCATCTGAGGGGTAGATAGCAGAGCCATCCCACTTTATTGATGAGACAGCTGAGGCCCAGAGAGGGTCAGCGACTTGCCCAGGATCAGTCAGGAAACGATAGAGCCGAATTCAAACCCAGCGAGCCAGGCCCTATGACTGGGAGGCGGGTGGGATGGAGCCATGATATCCTAATCTGTAAAGCGGGGGGAGAACGGTGCTGCTGCAGAAACCTTCCCCCTGGATTTGGTGATTGTTCAGAGCCTGGAATAGCACAAGCCCTGGGGTCACAGTCCTGGGTTTGAGTCCCGGTCCCACGTCCCTCCTGTCTTCCCCAGGAAGTAGCAGGTCCTTCCGCTGCTTTGCCAGGCTGACAGCAAAGATTCTAGCCTAGGCCTAGAACTGATGACCCTGCCTGTCATCATCTCTTTATTCAACCACCTGCCCAAATAGTTTCTAATCCCCTCTTCCAATTCAAGTGAATGAAAGTGAAAACAGGTTGCAGGAAGAGTACTAGGCAAACTGGCCAAGTGTGTTCCATGTACAAGTGAGATACTCTTAGGAACTTCAGGCCATCCTAGGATGTCAGTGTGATCATTTCTATTTCCCTGAAGTGAACCTGAGGCACAGAGAGGTTAGGAATTTTCCCCAAGTCACACAGCTAAATAGTAGCCAATCTAAGATTTGAACCAGGCTGGTTCCTGCAGCATTAGTATTCCTCCACCATCTTTCTAGAGAAGCGGCTTTCAGAATATGTTTGGTCTGTGGACTTCCCTGATGGATCCAGTGGTTAAGAGTCTGCCTGCCAATGCAGGGGACACTTGCATTGTGTCCAAACCTAACATGGGTTCGATCCCTGCTTTGGAAAGATTCTGAAACTACTGAAGCCCACAGCTGCTGAGAAGCCTGTGTGCCTAGAGCCCAAGCTTTGCAACAAACAAAACCACTGCAGTGAGGAGACCACATACTGCAACTAGAGAGGAGCCCCCAGTTGCCGCAACTAAAGAAAGTCTGCATGCAGCAACGAAGACCCAGCACAGTCACAAATTACTAATTAATTTTTTTAAAAAAAGAACATGATCATCACACACACACAATTTTAATCGTACACACTGCAAATAGTTTAAATAGCAGGAGATCACATGAACATTCCCAGTTGGGGCTTCCCTTAGGCATGGAGAATGGTGGCAGCGTGGTGTCCGTGATCTCTTGGCGACTCTTGAATCTCTTGGAAGTTAGGCAGCACTGCTCTCCAGAGGGTGCAAGGCCACCACCGGCGCCTGGCCACACAGCCTGCCCTCCCTGCTGTCATCTCCCTCATGGCCTGGCCAAGAAGATTTCCCCACCCCGGAGACAACTGTTTTCTCATACTTTATTTACAAGGACCCAGCCCTCAGGCCTCCACCTTTCCAGAACCCACAAGAGGGGCCCAGGAGGGCCGCCTGCTTCAAAGCACATTGAATTCAGCGACTGTGAGCCATATCTGTCCAGAGGGCAGGGAACCCCAAGGAAGCGAATCAACACCCAGGTGCTAACTGAATCTAAGTGTGTGTCTGGTGGGGAGCGATTTAGGAGTGAGAGTCGTGTGTGTGTATATATATACGTGGCCCAGCCATGTTGAGGCTGCTGGCTTCCCCCCTAAATCTCATAGTTCCCAGGGGCCACCGAAAAGGGTGGGTATGTCTCCAGGTGGCAGTGGGCCTGGCCTCTCGATGGAGATTTCAGCTCTGATGCCTGCCCTGAAACTGCATTGTTTCTACCTACACACAGAATCCTCTCTGGACCCCAGTACCCACTCACATTTCTATCTCCAACCTCTCCTGTAAGGAGTAAGCTCCAGCCCCTTACTCCCAGCTTAACAAGTCCAGAGAGCACTCCTGGTACTCCCCACCTCAAACCCCATCTCCCTCCCTCTTTCCTCTCTCCATCCTAAACTGAGAAGTCATCCCTGGTGTCTCTCCTTCTTCAGCAAATCCTCTGTTTTACCTTTAAAGTAGCTCTAGAATCCAACCATTTCACATCTTACGTGGCTGCCACCCTGGTCCTGCTAACATCACCTCCCACCATTATCAGACTTCTGACGTGGCTCCCAGCTGCCCCATAGCCCCTAATAATCCATCCCCACAGGGCAGATAACACCTTAGCCCATTCCTTTAGGAGACGCCCCAAAGAATCTTTCATGAACTTGGAGTAAAATGCCCACTCTTCTGTCCCCACCTACTTCTCTCTCCCCCTCTGTGGGTTCTGACTCATCCCTCTCCAGCCTGGCAGGTCACCTCTCTCTTCCTCAGACACAGCCAAGCTCCTCCTTGCCCCAGGGCCTTCACAGGTGTTCTTCCTTCTGCCTTAAACCTTGCCTGCCAATTCTTTGCAAAGCTGTCTCCTTCACCTCTTTTGGACATGACTTCAAAGTCGCTTCATCAGAGATGCCCTGAACCATACTATATCCCCTTCTAACCTTTCTTCCTAAGCCATTGCACAGTGTATATAGTATAATTTGGTTTGTCCTCACCGCCTATTTCCCCCACTCAGTTGTGATCTCTGGGAGAACAGGGGCTTTTCTGTTTCCTTCCCCGCCCCCAGCCCCAAACCCCTGCCATTTCTCCAGCACCCTCCAAGCCAAGCCTGGTACACAGCAGGTGCTCAATAAATACATGCTAACTGAATAGACCCAAGAATCCCGCTGCCTAGCAGTAACTTTCTAAGACGTGGTTGGCCTCACCCCCAGGACCTGGGAGGGTCCTCGAGCACAGAGCGCGGCCAGCGGCGACCTGGCCCGGGCCGGAGCCGGAGGGCAGGGTCCGGAAGGCGGGCTCGCGGCGCTGGCGCGGCTCCTCGCCGAGGCTGTGGCGCAGGCGGCAGCGGTGCCAGCCCCGGCGGATCTCCGACTGCACCTGAAACCGGACGGCGCTCAGAGGCGGCGGCGCGCGCGCCATCCCTGCGCGGCCGGCAGAGGGCGCGGGCGACGGGCAGCAGCTCTCCCTACCTCCTTGTTGATGAAGCAGTAGAGGACGCTGACCAGGAAGCCCTGCCATGAGGGGAGCAGGAGTTAAACTGGGTGCAGGGGCAGGGTTATAAACACCCCTCAATGAGCTCTGACTCTTTACAGGCGCAAACCACCTCGCCTGTCGCCACATCGGTCCTAGATTATTGCAGTCACCCTCTCCCTGGCTCCCGACTTCCCCCGGCCCCTTGCCCTCGCCAGTTTGCAGAGCCATCAGGGCTGGAGATTAAGAACATGTAACCCGAGGCTGAAAGCTTGGATGTGATCACGGCTCCCCACTTTCTTCCCCACTTAGGCAAGCTGCTTAACCCCTCTGTGCCTCAGTTTCTTCATCTGGAAAAGGGAACAATAATACAGTGGTGGTGCTGAGATTTAAGGTATTATTAATATGCAAGAGGGTCCAGTACATGAAACATAGTTAAACCTTTTTCTAAATCTTAACTTACTACATGACATATTGGATTTATTTATTTGGCCGTGCTGCAGGGCTTGCGGGATCTTAGTTCCCAGACCAGGGATCGAACCTGGGCCCTCGAAAGTGAAACTGCTGAGTCCTAACCACTGTACTGCCAAGAAATTCCCTAATAATAACCTTTAATAGGCACATCAAAAAATTAATTTTGAAATTATTTTCAAAAACTAGTTTTATATTTATAACAATTTAGAAATGTAAATCCATATAAAATGTATTTATAATTAATAAAGTAATTGATACATTAATGCAAGGGCTTCCCTAGTGGCTCAGATGGTAAAGAATCTGCCTGCAATGCAGGAGACCCAGGTTAAATCCCTGGGTCTGGAAGATCCCCTGGAGAAGGGAATGGCAACCCACTTCAGTATTCTTGCCTGGAGAATTCCAAGGACAGAGGAGCCTGGCAAATTTGAAC